GAGGACTTACTTCCTGACATCACTGTGTCTCATTTGTCTCCAACATCCACCACTGTTTCCACCGATTTTACCATTTTAACCACTATTAATTGGTTCAGTACCTACCCGTGGCACGATACTGTGATGGCTATGTTGGCCAGGGGGATGCTAACACCAAGAGTCTGATTGACTAGACCAGCAGTAGAAAAGCCTGGCTCACGACCCAGCTGAGGGAGTAACAAGACTAGCAACCACTCACAGCTATATCACAGGCTGTTATTTACAATATTTTCACCAATTTTAATTTTCGACGCTGTTTTTTACCCATTTCTCATTGCTATTTTCACCACTGGTTTAACCACTGTCACTCCCATTTCCAACATCTTCACTGTTTTCGATATTTCCACCATTTTCACAACTAATTAAAGCGTTTTCACCATAAATATCACTATACCAAATATTTTCTTTAGATAGGAATAATTTTCCTAACATCCCGTTTTCTGTGAGCTGCGAGAACGAGGACTTCGCTGTAAGAAATTCATTGTAGTTAATTTTTCCTTTGAGTTGTTATTTTCACTCTTGCATATTCAGAATGTAATTATCTTAACAACAACAGCATTTTAACACGGCTAAAACTAATCTACACTTTTGATTATCGTACAGGTTTTTTAATTCGTCTTTTTTTAATGTTGCTCTTGGACAGAGTTTTTGACTTAGTTGAATGATATTGTCCATCAGTGAAGTTTTATCCGGACGGCCTTATACACCACTCTTTACCGTGCCTTCTCTCTCTCCTCCTTGTTTGGTGGTTATATATGTTAGTGATATTGTTTCTCTTGAGTCTTACCCACTAGATCTAAAGTACACTATATTGTTCTTCTCAACAGATAGCCTCGGTGTGTACTGTCCAGGTCCTCTGATGTCCGTCTGCTTTACCATTCTCTCTCTCTCTCTCTCTCTCTCTCTCTCTCTCTCTCTCTCTCTCTCTCTCTCTCTCTCTCTCATTTATGCACCACACACAGGTATCTTAAAATTCATTGATAATCGAGTATAAGACACGTCACACCTATCATATATTATGCCTCTACCTTCAATATGTCCAGAAACTAAAAATCCTTAGATTCGCTGAAAATCTACTCTAGGAGCTACGAAGAACTGCGCACGAATACTATACGTTCCATGAGTTGAAACCAGGGGAGACGTTATCACGATATGAAAGATACTAGCAGAGTTAGATGAAGTAGACAAAGGAGAGGAAAATGGGGAGCACAGATGAGAGCTCAATATGCAAATATGCCACAGGAAAGCTAAAAAATAAATTTTTAATCTGAGAGTAGTTAAACGTGAAAAGGAAATGTCCATACAGAGTGTAAAGAACAGGTATGATATATAAGGGTATAAAAGTTGCAAGTTTAGAGGCACCTAAGTTCATCCGTCTTCAAATAATGTTATTTTACAACTAATATCAACCTTGTCCATAATTATTATCGCTTTGCTTTCGTAAGGTGAGGTCCAGGAGCTTTCCTTAATTCATGGTAACTTAAATATTTGATGATAATTGTGTTGTAGAGGTCTGAGCACAACTCAGACCTCTACAACACAACTGTTATCAAATATTTGTTAAATTATACCATGTGCAAGAAAGGTATTAAAATACCGACAATATTAAAGTTTAGACACATGTGCAACATCTGGGTATCTTTATTATAGACGTTTCGCCATCCAGTGGCTTTATCAATACAGATTCTTGGACATAATTGGAAGACAGTAGAATTATGTACAAAAGATAGGTAATCAGTCCCTCAGCCTTGGAGTTAGTGTTCACAGCATCGTGGTGGAGGAGAATCTGTCTTCCAATTATGTCCAAGAATCTGTATTGATAAAGCCACTGGATGGCGAAACGTCTACGATAAAGATACCCAGATGTTGCACATGTGTCTTAACTTTCATAAGTTACACCATGAATTAAGGAAAGCTCCTGGACCTCACCTTACGAAACAAAGTGAATGTGATGGTAATTATGGACAAGGTAGATTATAGTGGAAATATGAACAGGTTATGGGAAGACAGGGGAACTTAAGTGCCTCTTAACGTGTGATTAAATACAAATAAACGTAACTACATAAACAAGAGTGTAGTTACGAGGCGGATTTAATAAACTCAGAGGATGAATAAGTCACATGTTCAACACTTAGCTATTTTTATTGCTAGCATTAAAGATAACTAGGTACTGAACGTATTGTTCATAAACTTGGTATTGCATACCATCAATAATGTCAGAGGATCAAGACTTAACAACTAGTAATAGTAACCAGTAACCCACTAGCAACCAGTAATAGTAACCCACTAGCAACTAGTAATAGTAACTTCTCCAACCTTCAACGTCACACATTTCCCCCCTTGCCCTCCTCCCCCCTCCCCCCTTACTCTTGCCTATCACTGCCTGCACTAACAATCAGAAATAATAACTAGCAACTCTCTATTTCCATTACCCTCAACACAATCTCTCCTCATTCCCCTCACCCCCACTTCAACCCAGTCTCCATCTCTCCAACTTATTTTCTCCCTCCACACTTTCACCTCTCCCTTCCCTGCTCCTTCCCATCTCCTCCATTTTTCACTCTCCCCCACACCTACAGCTCTCCCTCCTCCTCCTCCCTCCTATCCTTTATATTGTGAGCCCTTGTAATCCTCCTGCCACTTCCTCTGTGCTTCGCTTCCTCTTCATTCCCCTCCCCTTCTACTCGCACTGGCTCTGCCCCATTCTCCATCTCCATATCTTCCTTAATATCACTTATTCCTTCCATCCCACACTTACCCTCTCATCATCTTTAATACCACTTCTTATTCCTCCCCCTCCCTCTACATGCCTTTCTTCCAAAATCCAAAAGACGAACCAGCACGAGGGACTGACCACCTCAAAACTGCGTCTTCAAGGGTGATGGATTGATTACATAATCTCTACAGCTTCTGATATCTCCTCTGTATTCGACTGAGGAAGCCTAGTATGTAGGAGAAACGTTTGGGAATAAAGATACCTAACTATTGCACATGTGTCTTATCAAATAGGCGAACATTGTACAGATTACAGCAGAGCACAAAACTGGGCTGCGGACGAGGCAGCAAAAAATGGTTTTCAAATCGGGAAAATTTTTTCCAGCGTCGTCCAGATTCTGTCCAGGTCCGTCATTGTTCCTCTCGGGTTTTAATTAATTTCTGCGTTATTGATGAGTCGCAATCACTGCGGTTGGTTACATTTTCTAGGACCATCTTTATCCCGCTCGCTCCGCTGGATATATTACCCTGGGATTTTTAGTTTCTCTTAGTTATATGAAGAATTTGTTGTGATGGGACGACCCTGGGTAGGTTCTGGGAGGTTCCTGGTTGGGTTTTGAACCGGTTGAGACGGTGCTGGGTTGTTCTGAATGTGTTGGGACTACCCTGGTGGTTCTAAACCTCTTGGAACCACCCTGGGTGGTTCTGAACCTGTTGAGACTACCCTGAGTGGGCTCTGAACCTGTTGAGACTACCCTGAGTGGGCTCTGAACCTATTGGGGGCGACACCGGGAGGGTTCTAAACCTGTTGGACTGGATCAGACCTGATTACCTGCCATCTGGCGTTGTTTGACCCAACGGCTTTGGTGCTTCACCTTGAGCAATATAATAAAGAATAAAGCAATTTCCAGACTAGGATAATAGCATACGTTTGGGTTTAGCGTTTCCACGTGGTGATAATCAAAAGGTCAAGTCGTAATGAACAACTATCAATGAATTAACAAAAGAATGGTTGGAAAGTTTCCTGGCTCAGTGGTACAGTGTTGGAACTAATACCATCAGGACCACGGTTCGAGTCTCCATTCATTCTCATGTTTATTATTAAAGGTGTTTGGGAATTTCTGTTGGGATTTAATAATCTATGTTCATTTAATGAGTAACTCAATTGAGAACCCTCTAAGCCTCTTGCAGGAGACAATATCCTCTTGAAGACTAAAGTCACACACGAGACAACACTGCTTCGTAATATCTGTAGTGGGAATAGAGTCCATTTCTAGTACTAAGGGCCCCATATGCTACGAATTTCCTAATTTATCCATGCCATTTCTCCATGGGCACTTAGGTCACCGTTCCTTCACCTAGCTGTCTGTAAGAGTCCAAGAACAAGTGTATCTTCAGTGCGTCATGAAACCAATGTCACCTTCGTGGTTTCCTCAGCAATAGATCAAAGTGAAGGAATGCAAGATATACAGAGGTTAAGAACATCAAGAAAATGCGTGCCTTAGGCTTGCATCACAAAAACAAGCAAATGGTTTAGTAATACTGCCCTGAGCACATGGTCTTGCACTAAACATTTGCATTAACGAAGGTAAACATTTATCTCTTGATACAGTGAATGTTGAGGTGGTGATGGTGCCACCATCTTCAGCCAGACCCAACAAACCCTCACATGGTGATACAAAGTATTTTGATACAATAAGAAGCCATTGCATCATGGGTAAATACATGGCACAGATCTGAGTAACCGAGTGGTTTTAAGAACCTAGACTGTGGCGGTGGGATTCAAATTGGCTAGGTTGTGGGACAGTGCCTACACTTTGAAAGTTAGAAGGACATATCAAGGTTTGGCTAGGAGGTTTTCAACTGATTATTATTATTATTATTATTATTATTATTATTATTCATGGACCTCCAGGTGTAAGTTGTCGCTTTATATATATATATATATAATATATATATATATATATATATATATATATATATATATATATATATATATATATATCATACATACACATGCGCGCGTGCGCACACACACACACACACACACACACTACACAAACACACACACACACAACACACACACACACACACACACACACACACACACACACACACACACACACACACATCTTACCACCTAACACACCCTACCCTTCCGTCTCCCATCCCTCCGTCAGAAAGTGGCATTGTAATGGGCGGCGTGGAGAGCCGCCCACAAGAGTCACCTCAGCAGTAGCACTCACCTGAGATGGGGAACTGGCACCACTGTAGGAAAACTGTGAATCTGAGTCTTCTCCTCTCTCTCTCTCCTCACTACACACCGACACTCTGTCACTCTTGGCTCTGTAATACACACAAGAGAAATACTTAGTATTGGCTCTGTAACACAAGATAAACAGCATTGGCTTTCGAACGGGGGCGTTGACCCCCCGAAACCATCTCCAGGTATAACAAGAGAAAACAATATTGGCTGTGTAAGATGCACACGAAGCACAGCCTTGACTATAAAATACAAAACACACATAAATAATGTTCTGCAGGACACAAGAGGCACAGTTAAGATTTGGTTCTGTAGTACACCAGGGAAAGATATTTGTTGTTATAGCAGGTAAACAGACAATGTGAGAGTAAGACACATGTGCAACATCTGGGTATCTTTATTGTAGACGTTTCGCCATCCAGTGGCTTTATCAATACAAAAATCTAGGACATAACTTGAAGACAGTAGAACTATGTACAGAAGATGAGGTAATCAGTCCCTCAACCTAGGAGTAGGTGCGAACAGCACCATAGTCGTGGAGATTCTCCACGAATCTCCACGACTATGGTGCTGTTCGCACCTACTCCTAGGTTGAGGGACTGATTACCTCATCTTCTGTACATAGTTCTACTGTCTTCAAGTTATGTCCTAGATTTTTGTATTGATAAAGCCACTGGATGGCGAAACGTCTACAATAAAGATACCCAGATGTTGCACATGTGTCTTACTCTCATCTTGTCGGTATTACATACCATTCGTACACAAACAGACAATATTTAGATTTTAGAGAGACGCGTACTTTCTGCTGATCTTGTAAGTGGCCCACCAACACACCTCTTTTAGGTATAAATTATGTGTGGGAGCAGAACAGGTCGGACACCCAGGATAATTTTTCTTACTCTGACTACCACTGTAATTTACTGATAGAATCATTTTTATAGAAGGTAGGACAGAGGCGCAGGAGGATCACTGTTGTGTGTACCTGTGCAATGTGTTCGTATGCGTGTGTATGTATTTATTCGAGTGTGAACATTCGTGTACGTATTGGTTACATTCCAGCACAAAATACACACAAGCAACTTGGTTAATAGACAAAAACTAATGCTTCACAAGACACATCTGAACAAACATTGTTGATACACTCTCTCTCCCAGCATCTGTTAACAGATACAACAGTAAATGAACTAATACCTACCCCCACTTCATATCCTTCAAATCCCTGTTAACAGATACAACAGTAAATGAACTAATACCTACCCCCACTCTATATCCTTCAAATCCCTGTTAACAGATACAACAGTAAATGAACTAATACCTACCCCCACTCTATATCCTTCAAATCCCTGTTAACAGCTACAACAGAGTCCTCACCATCTCTCAACAACTTTTCAACATTGCTGTCATTGCTCTGGTGTTTACCTGGAGTTTACCTGGAGAGAGTTCCGGGGGTCAACGCCCCCGCGGCCCGGTCTGTGACCAGGCAATATCTAGTAAACACACTGATAATGTTAGATAATGCTAGTGAATATATTGTATTATATTGTATTACAGCACTTAGTAATACAATATAAAAGGTAAGATACACAATAATTGATCAAGTTAGAGATGCGAAAATACTAGATACGAAGTTCAGCATTAAGTTGGACTGAAGTTGACGTTTTATGTAACGAGACTTCTAAGTGACATTTTGCTCTTTCTGTACGTTCATGTACTTGTCAGGTTGGATGGACGTTCATGTACTTGTCAGGCTGGATGTACGTTCATGTACTTGTCAGGCTGGATGTACGTGTATCGTACTTATATTTTGAAATCATTTATAGTTTTAAACGGAAAAATCACCAGCGGTCTTTTCTGCCACAAACCTCTAATATATATATATATATATATATATATATATATATATATATATATATATATATATATATATATATATACAGAGAGAGAGAGAGGGGGGGGGAAGATGTGCTGGATATTCCAGCAGTTAATAATGATTTACGACCTGAAGAAACAGGTTATTGACATGTTCCACTAGGGACCTGGTTATCCAGTAAAAAGTTACAGAGCTGCTAATTACCCTGTTAAACATATATATATATATATATATATATATATATATATATATATATATATATATATATATATATATATATATATATATATATATATATATATATAGCTAATATGTGATTATGAGTTATTTACAATAACCAGTATTTGTTTGATAAGTAAATTTTGGTTTTAATTGGAGTTACAATAGGCAGTTATGGCTATTTTCCAGAAGGGCTGGTAATGTCTCTGTGAATAATACTTAAGTAAGTCTTCAAGATTTTTGAGCGAGTCATCTCTAAATTAAGTATTTTTGTTTCATTCCAGCACGTAATGACGTAGAATGTGACAGTGTTCTCCATGGCAGTAGTTGGTGCAGACTGCCGAAGTATTTTATAGCCAGGATGAATCCAGGCAGTGGTAGCCAGGAGTCTGTCATATGTGGCTTCTGCATCAAGGACTAACTGATGTCAGTCACCCTATTGTCTAAGGTCAGTGAAGTTCACCTGAAGTTATTTACTTTTTATAGTCATCAAAATATTAGTTAACAGCTCCAAGTTGTAGTCTCCTCTCTTTTTCAAGGGATGTGCCTTTGCCAATTCATCAGTTATACCCTATATTTGAAGACCGATGTGATGTGGTGGGGGAGGGAGGCAGATCTTTACAAAGAGTCTACTCTAACTCCACTGTTTACAATTCCACCACACTTTTATCTCGCTTTTGACACGAGCATGTTACCATTGACGCTTGTGACATTAAGAGCATTCATAGTTAACAGAGAACCACTTACAATCAAGGTACCAACTTTAAGTAAGTGGACACGTGTAAGTTTGAGGAGTGTAACAAGACAGATCACTTTGAAACATGAACGCCCAGTTGTTGACGCGCACTAATTTCTATTACGAAGGCGTCTTTCTGTATGACAATAATTACATTTGTATGGAAGAGTTTTGGTGGGTTTGCCAGGCCATATCAACACCAATGAGGACGTATCTGTTAGTGACTGTTACCGATGCTTGAAATATCCAATTTTTCCACACACTAATATTTTCAGTGGCACATGGCCATCCTAAGATGATCCTCATCGCTTAGAAGCCTTCCAAGCTTTCTGTGTAACAAGAGCAAGTAGGGTACAGTGAATTAGTTATCTGATGGAGGCAAAATGCACCATTTTAACAGTGTACATATTCACGTGTTCTCAACCTCTCTATTGGCGAGAAAATCTGGTTACAGGTCTTATGTACTCTTGATATACTCTTCAGTCGATGTATGTCAATGATCTTGCAGTAACATACATCATGTAAATGGTCCAATAGGAGCGAGACATCGTCATGAGCTCCTCTCTCCTATACGCGGGTTATTTCTGTATTGGTCCAGGTTAGGTAAGGTTCGTCAGGAAACAGGACAAGTGTTTCCTGATGCGGGACTTAGATGATGACCCGCCGTTGGAGCTTTTGGCCATCTAACCGAAGCATTCCACTGGCTTACCCCTCCACCACTTTCAAAATTTTGGCCATAGTTATAACCATTTAGTATATTAATTGTGTATTGGTCCAGTCAGGGTATTGTGCCTTTTTCTTGGTTGTCAAGTTTTTACCAATATCAAGTATAAACTGAAGCTGAGAATTTCACTCTCACCCCGAGTGGACAAATTTATCTATCATAGAAGGTAGAGTATTCCTAAGGTAAAGACTTGATACAATACGTTTGAGCTGGCTACCAGTACGCCGTTAAAAACGTACTGCACACTGTTTTTACTCAAGAGATGCACTCAGGTAATCAAAGTTGACTTGAAAAAGAGCTGAAGTATAACTTTAAAATGGCTCACCCTGGACTGAATGTTCTGCAATGAATGTAAAACTGCTACACCGTTGCTTCCCCCCCTTCTCCTCCCTCTCCCCCATTTACCCACTCCAACAGACCCTCCCCATTTCTTTCTCATTCATAAAAATCTCAACAATACATCGGGGTAAAGAATATTCCTCCAATTTCTGAAATTAGTGGTTAGTCATCCAGGTGGTATTAAAAAAAATGTCTCGGCACATGTCGATATTTTTTTTTTCATAAGGTTTTAATGTCGGAGTTTCCCTTTCGTTCCGTAGTTGTGAGAGTGGTGGGGAGAGAGCCTGGTTGCAGGCGTAGCCTTTCTCATTTACGGACGGAGGATTGAGCCTCCACCACTCATTGCACTCGTCCACCACTGTCCAATGATTATATTTTTATTAGGTGATAATTCTGATAACTAAATAAGACCGTATACTCACACTTGGGGATGCCAGACATCCTTAAAACAAATACACACACACACGTATGTGGCTACTAACAAATACAGACCACACTTATGTGGCAACTAACAAATACAGACACACACGTATGTGGCAACTAACAAATACAGACCACACGTATGTGGCAACTAACAAATACAGACCCACACGTATGTGGCAACTAACAAATACAGACCCACACGTATGTGGCTATAACAAATACAGACACACACGTATGTGGTTACTAATTCTCCTGTAAGTGGTAGAATTAGTACCCACATAAAGAACCAGAAAGGAGGAGGACTGAGATAATGGAGGGGCGTTATGGAAAACTGTCAGTATGTCAGTCAAAGACATAAGAGAGGCTACTGCTTCAGACAGTGGACCAACTGGTTATAATACGATTCATCCAACTAGATGTATTTCTTATTGTAGCCAGCTGGCCGAGTGGCTTACGCAATGGCTTGCCATGGTTCAAACCCTACCCGTTCCGTGGCTTATTAGTAGTCGTGTTATTACTGTACATCAATGGATACGAAACACCACACACACAACAGGGGAAGAGGTGAAAAACTTTGGGTTTAGCTGGATACATCAAAGACAGAGGCACCCGACAAAGTGTTACCATGGATTCTGCGAGAGAAAACAGACAGTGAACCAGTAGCTTAGCTCTGCAAGTCAATGGATGCGCGACAGTTGTCAGAGCTCCCAGTATTCAAGAAGGGAC